CCCCCTTCCTCCTTCCGCCTTACCCCTCCCCCTTTCCGCCTTACCCCTTCCCCCCTTCCCCCTTCCGCCTTACCCCTTCCCCCCTTCCCCCTTCCGCCTTACCCCTTCCCCCTTCCCTCCCTCACCTGCAGGAAGTCAGGCACGCAGCTGGCATGGGCCTCACATGCGACTCGCCTCCCTGCAATGTGAGAGAGGGGAGAGTGGCAGGGACTGGGGTGCGTGGTGCATGGGACACTGGTTGAGGTTCGGGGAGAGGGTGGGGAACGTGAGGACGGTTGGGATGCAGCGAGGTCGAGAGGCTTGGGTGGAGCACTGGTGTGGGCCCACTATACTTGTTTACTCACCGCAGATGCATTGTACAGGACAGGTGTACTCACCCCACATGCATTGTACAGGACAGATGTACTCACCTCATATGCATTGTACAGGACAGGTGTACTCACCCCACATGCATTGTACAGGGGTACCACCCCACATGCATCATACAGGGGTACTCACCCCCACATGCATCATACAGGGGTACTCACTCCCACACGCATTCATACAGGGGTACTCACCCACATGCATCATACAGGTGTACTCACCCCCACATGCATCATTCAGGTGTACTCACACCTCATGCTACCGTACCTCTTCCCGGACCCTTGCTGCCTTTCCCCACAGTCGCTGACCTCATTACGCACCTCCGCCACTAGTGACACTCGCTACCGCGCTGCGCTTCCGCTGAGTTCTGCGCCAAGAACCCCCCCCCCATGTACATCACTTCTCTATTATATAGTCACCCGCCTCCCTGACTCCCTTCGTGTAGTCAGGGGACCACTTCCTCTCAGTGTGTCCCACCACTCTCACTGTTGACCTCCTCGAGAAGCCCTCCTAGCAACGCAGAAGAGCATAGTCGTTGTAGGAGCCTCTCGTGGTGACCCTCGCACCCCCATCTTTGAGGGGTGTTCCCCTTCCCCCCTTTTGCCCTCTGTCGCCTCTGCGCTGCGGCCGACCTCGTTGGTCTTGAGTCGATCGGATGTGGCGTCTGCCCCCTAGCGGGAGACGCCACTCTAGCAAGGGCAAGGATGGCAAGGGGCGCGGGTGGAGCTAGCGGGGGTGGTGGATCTGGTGGCGGTGGAGGCGGAGGAGGGAGTGGGGGTGGCGGTGGGAGTGGTGGCGGGGGTGGAGGTGTCGGTGGCAGCAGTGGAGGCGCAGGTGGCGGAGGTGGTAGCGGTGGAGCGGAGGCGGCTGTGGTGGCGGAGGTGGGGGAGGCGGTGGTGGAGGAGGTGGAGCTGGTCAGGGTGGTGCTTCGCAACGGAGCGGCTCCGGTGGTGGTCAGCGCCAGCAGCAATAGCAGCAGCGTTCTCGGGACATCCCCCCCCCTCCGCAGCTCCGTGAGTGGTACGCTGCACGTCAGCGTGGTGGGGGTTTTGGTCCGTGCACCTACGTCCTTCGCACCGGCGACCGCGCGGCGTGAGCAGTGTGGGGGTACCCACCCCAACCCAGCGCTACTTTGGGTGCCTGACGGACGCTTGGCGTCACCAGTTCTCGGAGGCCACTGAGATCCCCCGCTAGGGAGAGCTGTCTAGGGCAGGTGTAGCTATCTATGATCTTGACTTTGATTGCTATTCTTGCTGTCATGTATGCTGTGACGATTTAGTGATTAGGGTGACTGTTACCGGTGGTTCCCGCCCGACTCGGGCATTGAGACTGCTGCTCTAGGTGCTGGTGAGGCTGCTGCTCCAGGTGCCACTGCGGCTGTTTGCTCCAGGTGCCAGTGCGTCTGCGTCCTCAGGTGCTGGTGAGTTTGCGCTCTCAGGTACCGCATCGGCTTTGGCCTCCCTCACCTTTCACACTTGACTCAGGGGCTTCTCGCTCCTTCTTTCAAGACCGCACCACACTCACGCCGCTTGGTCGGCCGGTTGGAGTCTCCCTGGCAGACCCCTATGGGGGTCCTGTCCTTGGTGAGTGGTGCTGACCTACAGGATGCAGGGGCTTCACCAGTTTACTCCTGGGAGTCAGCGGGTGACCCGCTGCTCGGGACGCTCCTCAAGTACCAACCCCGTGAGTGCTAGTCCTCAAGTACCACCCCGTTAGTGCTGTTCCTCAAGTACCACCCCGTTGAGTGCTGCTCCCTCAAGTGCCACCCCGTGAGTGCTACTCCTCAAGTAGCACCCCGTTATTGCTGCTCCTCAAGTGCCACCCCGTGAGTGCTACTCCTCAAGTACCACCCCGTGAGTGCTGCTCCTCAAGTACCACCCCGTGAGTGCTGCTCCTCATGAACCACCCCGTGAGTGCTACTCCTCAAGTACCACCCCGTGAGTGCTGCTCCTCAAGTACCACCCCGTGAGTGCTGCTCCTCAAGTACCACCCCGTTAGTGCTGCTCCTCCAGTACCACCCCGTGAGTGCTGCCTCCTCAACTACCACCCCGTGAGTGCTGCTCCTCCAAGTACCACCCCGTGAGTGCTGCTCCTCATGTACCACCCCGTGAGTGCTGCTCCTCAAGTACCACCCCGTGAGTGCTACTCCTCAAGTACCACCCCGTGAATGTTGCTCCTCAAGTACCACTCCGTGAGTGCTGCTCCTCAAGTACCACCCCGTGAGTGCTGCTCCTCAAGTGCCACCCCGTGAGTGCTGCTCCTCAAGTACCACCCCGTGACTGCTGCTCCTCAAGTACCATCCCATCAGTGCTGCCTCCTCAAGTACCACCCCGTGAGTGCTACTCCTCAAGTACCACCCCGTGAGTGCTGCTCCTCAAGTACCACCCCGTGAATGCTGCTCCTCAAGTACCACCCCGTGAGGGATGCTCCTCAAGTACCACCCCATGAGTGCTGCTCCTCAAGTACCACCCCGTGAGTGCTACTCCTCAAGTACCACCCCGTGAGTGCTGCTCCTCAAGTACCACCCCGTGAGTGCAACTCCTCAAGTACCACCCCGTGACTGCTGCTCCTCAAGTACCACCCCGTGAGTGCTGCTCCTCAAGTACCACCACGTGAGTGCTGCTCCTCAAGTACCATCCCCCTTTGTGCTAGTCCTCAAGTACCACCCCGTTAGTGCCCACTCCTCAAGTACCACCCCGTGAGTGCCACTCCTCAAGTGCCACCCCGTGAGTGCCGCTCCTCAAGTACCACCCCGTGAGTGCTGCTCCTCAAGTGCCACCCCGTGAGTGCTACTCCTCAAGTACCACCCCGTGAGTGCTGCTCCTCAAGTACCACCCCGTGAGTGCTGCTCCTCAAGTACCACCCCGTGAGTGCTGCTCCTCAAGTACCACCCCGTGAGTGCTGCTCCTCAAGTACCACCCCGTGAGTGCTACTCCTCAAGTACCACCCCGTGAGTGCTGCTCCTCAAGTACCACCCCGTAAGTGCTGCTCCTCAAGTACCACCCCGTGAGTGCTGCTCCTCAAGTGCCACCCCGTGAGTGCTACTCCTCAAGTACCACCCCGTGAGTACTGCTCTCAAGTACCACCCTCGTGAGTGCTGCTCCTCAAGTACCACCCTGTCAGTGCTGCTCCTCAAGTACCACCCCGTGAGTGCTGCTCCTCAAGTACCACCCCGTGAGTGCTAGTCCTCAAGTACCACCCCATGAGTGCTGCTCCTCAAGTACCACCCCGTGAGTGCTGCTCCTCAAGTACCACCCGTAAGTGCTCCTCCTCAAGTACCACCCCGTTAGTGCTGCTCCTCAAGTACCATCCCGTAAGTGCTGCTCCTCAAGTGCCATCCCGTGAGTGCTGCTCCTCAAGTACCAGCCCGTGAGTGCTGCTCCTCAAGTACCACCCCGTGAGTGCTAGTCCTCAAGTACCACACCGTTAGTGCTGCTCCTCAAGTACCACCCCGTGAGTGCTGCTCCTCAAGTGCCACCCCGTGAGTGCTACTCCTCAAGTAGCACCCCGTGAGTGCTGCTCCTCAAGTGCCACCCCGTGAGTGCTACTCCTCAAGTACCACCCCGTGAGTGCTGCTCCTCAAGTACCACCCCGTGAGTGCTGCTCCTCACGAACCACCCCGTGAGTGCTACTCCTCAAGTACCACCCCATGAGTGCTGCTCCTCAAGTACCACCCCGTGACTGCTGCTCCTCAAGTACCACCCCGTGAGTGCTGCTCCTCAAGTGCCACCCCGTGAGTGCTGCTCCTCAAGTACCACCCCGTGACTGCTGCTCCTCAAGTACCACCCTGTGAGTGCTGCTCCTCAAGTACCACCCCGTGAGTGCTGCTCCTCAAGTACCAACCCCGTGAGTGCTGCTCCTCAAGTACCACCCCGAAGTGCTCCTCCTCAAGTACCACCCGCTAGTGCTGCTCCTCAAGTACCATCCCGTGAGTGCTCCTCATCAAGTGCCACCCCGTGAGTGCTGCTCCTGAAGTACCACCCCGTGAGTGCTGCTCCTCAAGTACCACCCCGTATGTGCTGCTACTGAAGTGCCAGCCCGTGAGTGCTACTCCTCAAGTACCACCCCGTGAGTGCTGCTCCTAAAGTGCTACCCCGTGAGTTCTACTCCTCAAGTACCACCCGTGAGTGCTGCTCCTCAAGTACCACCCCGTGACTGCTGCTCCTCAAGTACCACCCCGTGAGTGCTGCTCCTCAAGTGCCACCCCGTGAGTGCTGCTCCTCAAGTACCACCCCGTGACTGCTGCTCCTCAAGTACCACCCCATGAGTGCTGCTCCCTCAAGTACCACCCCGTGAGTGCTGCTCCTCAAGTACCACCCCCGTGATTGCTGCTCCTCAAGTACCACCCCATGAGTGCTGCCTCCTCAAGTAACCACCCCGTGACTGCTGCCTCCTCAAGTACCACCCCGTGAGTGGTGCTCCTCAAGTACCACCCCGTGTGTGCTGCTCCTCAAGTACCACCCTGTGAGTGCTGCTCCTCAAGTACCACCCCGTGAGTGCTGCCTCCCTCAAGTACCACCCCATGAGTGCTGCTCCTCAACTACCACCCCGTGAGTGCTGCTCCTCAAGTACCACCCCGTGAGTGCTGCTCCTCATGTACCACCCCGTGAGTGCTGCTCCTCAAGTACCACCCCGTGAGTGCTACTCCTCAAGTACCACCCCGTTACTGTTGCTCCTCAAGTACCACTCCGTGAGTGCTGCCTCCTCAAGTACCACCCCGTGAGTGCTGCTCCTCAAGTGCCACCCCGTGAGTGCTGCTCCTCAAGTACCACCCCGTGACTGCTGCTCCCTCAAGTACCACCCCGTGAGTGCTGCTCTCAAGTACCACCCCGTGAGTGCTGCTCCTCAAGTACCACCCCGTGAGTGCTGCTCCTCAAGTACCACCCCCATGAGTGCTGCTCCTCAAGTACCACCCCGTGACTGCTGCCTCCTCAAGTACCACCCCGTGAGTGCTGCTCCTCAAGTACCACCCCGTGAGTGCTGCTCCTCAAGTACCACCCCGTGAGTGCTGCTCCTCAAGTACCACCCCGTGAGTGCTGCTCCTCAAGTACCACCACGTGAGTGCTGCTCCTCAAGTACCACCCCGTGAGTGCTAGTCCTCAAGTACCACCCCGTTAGTGCTGTTCCTCAAGTACCACCCCGTGAGTGCTGCTCCTCAAGTGCCACCCCGTGAGTGCTACTCCTCAAGTAGCACCCCGTTAGTGCTGCTCCTCAAGTGCCACCCCGTGAGTGCTACTCCTCAAGTACCACCCCGTGAGTGCTGCTCCTCAAGTACCACCCCGTGAGTGCTGCTCCTCATGAACCCACCCCGTGAGTGCTACTCCTCAAGTACCACCCCGTGAGTGCTGCTCCTCAAGTACCACCCCGTGAGTGCTGCTCCTCAAGTACCACCCCGTTAGTGCTGCTCCTCCAGTACCACCCCGTGAGTGCTGCTCCTCAACTACCACCCCGTGAGTGCTGCTCCTCAAGTACCACCCCGTGAGTGCTGCTCCTCATGTACCACCCCGTGAGTGCTGCTCCTCAAGTACCACCCCGTGAGTGCTACTCCTCAAGTACCACCCCGTGAATGTTGCTCCTCAAGTACCACTCCGTGAGTGCTGCTCCTCAAGTACCACCCCGTGAGTGCTGCTCCTCAAGTGCCACCCCGTGAGTGCTGCTCCTCAAGTACCACCCCGTGACTGCTGCTCCTCAAGTACCATCCCATCAGTGCTGCTCCTCAAGTACCACCCCGTGAGTGCTACTCCTCAAGTACCACCCCGTGAGTGCTGCTCCTCAAGTACCACCCCGTGAGTGCTGCTCCTCAAGTACCACCCCGTTAGTGCTGCTCCTCCAGTACCACCCCGTGAGTGCTGCTCCTCAAGTACCACCCCGTGAGTGCTGCTCCTCAAGTACCACCCCGTGAGTGCTGCTCCTCAAGTGCCACCCCGTGAGTGCTACTCCTCAAGTAGCCACCCCGTGAGTGCTGCTCCTCAAGTGCCACCCCGTGAGTGCTACTCCTCAAGTACCACCCCGTGAGTGCTGCTCCTCAAGTACCACCCCGTGAGTGCTGCTCCTCACGAACCACCCCGTGAGTGCTACTCCTCAAGTACCACCCCGTGAGTGCTGCTCCTCAAGTACCACCCCGTGACTGCTGCTCCTCAAGTACCACCCCGTGAGTGCTGCTCCTCAAGTGCCACCCCGTGAGTGCTGCTCCTCAAGTGCCACCCCGTGACTGCTGCTCCTCAAGTACCACCCCGTGAGTGCTGCTCCTCAAGTACCACACCGTGAGTTCTGCTCCTCAAGTACCACCACGTGAGTGCTGCTCCTCAAGTACCACCCTGTGAGTGCTAGTCCTCAAGTACCACCCCGTTAGTGCTGCTCCTCAAGTACCACCCCGTGAGTGCTGCTCCTCAAGTGCCACCCCGTGAGTGCCGCTCCTCAAGTACCAACCCGTGGGTGCTGCTCCTCAAGTGCCACCCCTTGAGTGCTACTCCTCAAGTACCACCGCGTGAGTGCTGCTCCTCAAGTACCACCCCGTGAGTGCTGCTCCTCAAGTACCACCCCGTGAGTGCTGCTCCTCAAGTACCACCCCGTGAGTGCTGCTCCTCCAGTACCACCCCGTGAGTGCTGCTCCTCAACTACCACCCCGTGAGTGCTGCTCCTCAAGTACCACCCCGTGAGTGCTGCTCCTCATGTACCACCCCGTGAGTGCTGC